CCCCCCCCCCCCCCCCCCCCCCCCCGGTTTTATGCCAATTTTGAAATAGATTGCAGAGATTGTTTTTTAAAAAACGAAGTGGTGGACAGGGGAAACAGCCATCGAAGCCTTTCCTTTTTTTTCTTGTTTAAAAGGTCACTGCAGGGAGAGAGACGGAAAAACCATAAAAACAGAGGATGGTCGTATCGTTTCCAGTTCAATTCTTTTTGCAAAAAAAAATTTTTTTTTTAATCCCCTGAATTACTTGCAGCATCTACTGTGGATGGAGACATCAATAAAGCTGCTGGAACTAGCAGCCTCGTTTTTTGTAACCTTTGGGTTACAAAAGGACTTCTGAAGTCCTTGAGTTACGACCATATTGAGCCCAGCTGTTACAGTCGTCCATTGTTCACCATCATAATGCATGATCAACAATGATTTTACGTTGGGGTTTTTTGTTTGTTTGTGGCGGTCGTTAAGTGAACGCCGTAAAGCAAATGCGGCCGGGAGTGCGGTCGTGTCCTGGTCGTGAAGTGGACAAGTACGGACCCATTGATTGGCAGGGGAAGGGTTTCGCCGAAAACTAGGATTAATTGAACGGGTTTTTGGCAAAAGCCATTGGGCAAATTGAGTCGCAGGACCGCGGGAATCTCCAGACTGACGTAAGTGTGGTTGTGTTGCTGAACCCTCCCAAGTGTGATCACGTGACTGTGGCAGCAGGGATGGGATTCAGAAAATTTATCAATTGGTTCTCTGCCCAGTTGCTGGGTGGGCGTGGCCTACTCGTCCTCATGCGCCACGGCTAGGGAGGTAGTTTTTGTCTTCTGCAGGCTCCGGAGGCTTTCCTGGAGCCCCCAGGAAGCTGAAAATGGGCTCCCCGAGCTCCGGAGGCTGGAAACAGACCCATTACCAGACTTCCGGAACTTCCGGGAGGCCCGTTTTTTGCTCTCCCAGAGCCTTTACCTGGCATCCAAAATGGACCACATGGAGACTCCTGGGAGGGGCAGGGGCGGGTGGGAGTGGCCAGCCAGTCCTTGCGCTTATCGGTTCGGCAAACCACATGTCCAATTAGCATCCAGTTCATCTGAACCAGCTGAATCCCACCCCTGAATGGGTGTGCGTGACTGCTGGAACTTCAGATCTGGGTTATAAACCCTCTCCCCCCCTTTTTTTCCAAGTAGGTCGTAACTTCAAACAGTTGCTGAGTGACCAGTTGTAAGTCGAGGACTCCCTGTACAGCAGAAATTCTGGTGACAAGTTAGACCAGGGGTCGGCAACCTTAAACACTCAAAGAGCCACAAAGATCCTAAACTGGAAGTCCCCCTGTTGAATTCTGGAGCCGACTGGAAGTCCGGTTCCCCCACCATAGAGTCTCCTCCTAGCACGGCATCCTTTTCCCCCTACCTGTCCTAACCAAAAGCCCTATCAATTGTGGAGCCAACCAGAAAACCTGCCCCTTGCCATAGAGTCTCCTCTTGGCCTGCCGTGATCCCCCCCCCCAAAAAAAAACCCAGAATCTCCTCTCACAATTGTGGCACCGAGCATCAACAGGGAGCCGCAGCAGAGGGATGAAAGCAGATTGCTGACCCCTGGGTTAGGCTGAGGCAGGTTGGATTGGTTAATCTGAGCTGGTCATTCTGCCCTTGTTGATGCCACCATTGTTCTGTAAGAGAGGCTACTTAAAAAATTCCACTTCTACATTTAAGTGGTTAAAATCTATTTCAATTTCCCCTCATTCAAGTCATGGAGCCTCATTCTAACTATTTTCCTTGGAAAAAGGTGGCAAAATTTCTTGGCTTTTTTGATCTCTACAAAGCCTCCTTGAATGGCCTTCTGGTTAACTTTCCAAGATGGACTTTCCAGAAACTCTCTTGAAAAAGCACCTTTGCTTTTTCCAAGCAACATGGATGACTGAGAATCTCCATGTGTCCACGATGGACTAGTTCTCCAGGATATGGATGGTATAAGGCCTCCTCCCTTGGGTTGGACTAGAAGACTTCCATTTCCAAGGTCCCTTCCAGCCCTAGGAGTTTAGCCAAATATTGTTTTGAAAAGCAATGGAAAGAGAGAGAGAACATGAAAAAACTAGTTTCAGTAGATTGATTAATAGCACTTAGCAAGAATGCTTGGACTTATATACTGCTTCACAGAACTTTACATCCCTCACTAAGCCTCTTTCCCCCAACAATCTGGCTCCTCATTATACTCACCTCGGAAGAATGGAAGGCTGAGTCAACCTTGAGCTTATTGAACTGTTGGCAGTCAGCAGAATTAGCCTGCAATACTGCATTCTAACCACTATGCCATCATGGAGGGAGGGAGGGAGGGAGGGAGGGAAGGAAGGAAGGAAGGAAGGAAGGAAGGAAGGANTTCCAAAACACTCAGATCAGATCAGCCCAGCATCTAACAAACAGAGAGTTAACAGTCGTTCTGGCTCCCTCTTATGGCCGATTGAGGAAAACAGCAACCAATCACATTTTACAGTATGATTTAAAGAAACAGGCACAACATTGCTATATGATTTATATATTGCCAACCCAACCGTTAGATTATATTCCTAACAGGTTTTGCATAAAAACAAGAAGAAAATGAACCTGCCATCTCTGGTTTTAAGGATTAGACAGGAGAGATCAAAGAAAGAAGAGCCATAGGATGTAACTTTGGAAAGAGGTTAAAATATATTTGTACTTTTAACAGCTGTGGACAAGAGTAGAAGGCTCTTTCTTTCCTTTCTTTCTTTGTCTCTCTCTCCCTCTTTCCTTTCCTCTTTCTTTTTCTTTCTTTCCTTCCTTTCTTCCTGTCTTTTTCCTCTTTCTCTCTCTCTCTCTTCCTCTTTCCTTTTTGTTTCCTTCTTTCTTTTTTTCCTTCTCTTTCTTTCCCCCTCCTTCCTTCCTTTCCTCCCTCCCTCCCTCCTTTTTCTTTTTTCTTCTTTCTTTCTTTCTTTCTTTTTTCTTTCTTTCTTTTGTTTCCATTCTTTCTTTCCTTTCTTCTTTCTTTTTCCCTTCCCTCCTTTCCTTCCTTCCTTCCCTCCCTCTTTTTCTTTTTTCTTTTCTTTCTTTTCCTTCTTTCTTTTCTTTCCCCCTCCCTCATTTCCTTTTTTTTCTTTTTTCTTTCCTGCTTTCCTGCTTTTTTTTGCTTGCACTTTTTGGCTTTTTCTTTGAGTTCTTTCATCTTCTTTTTTCTTTCTTGTATTACTTTGTGTTGGTTTTTATTTCCTTGTTTAAAGGTTTGATGTGCACATTTGATTTTTCCCTCATTCTCTTTTTTCTTCCTTACTTTCTATTAGTTTGTCTTCATTTTTATCTTCTTGTTTAAAAGTTTCTATTAAAAAAATGATAGACCAAATGAAAACAACCTGCTGAAAATCTTGCCCTGGGTTGCTTTTGGAGGGGAGCTGAACGCATGACCCCAAATTTGCTCTCATTTATAGGGATCGTGAGCCTTCCAAATAGGCAGCATAACTGGGCTGAATTTCTGCAGAGGGCAGGTAAGAATGCATACAAGCGTGAAATGTCCCAGAATTTTTAGTAAAAGTCTTTCTGAACACAAATCTCTTTCTCTTTGGAGATCTGGGAAGGGAGCGGAAGAGAGAGGAAGGAAGGGAAGAAAAGGGGGTGAGGGCAAAGAAAGGAGAAAGGAAAGGAATGGAGGTAAATGGATTAGGGACAAAATAAATGAATGAGAAAGTAAGAGAAGGGAAAGGAAAGGAAAAGAGAGGAAAGGAGGTGAATGGATGGGAAAGAGAATAAATGAATGGGAAGGAAAGGAAAGGAAGGTGGACAGAGAGAAGGGATTAAATAGATAGGGAAAGGAAAGAAAGGGGAAGAAAGGAAAGGAGATAAATGGATGGGAAAGAGAATAAATGAATGGGAACGGAAGGAAAGAAAAGGAAGGTGGGAGGAAAAGGAAAGAGGAAGACGGGAGGGGATTGAAGAAAAGGAGGAGAATGGAAGGAAAGAAAAGGAGGAAAGGGAAGGGGTTAAATGGATGGGGAAAGGAAAAGAAAAGAAATAAATGAGGAAGGAGAAGAAAAGAGAGGGAAAAGAAAGAGAAGGAAAAATGCCCAGGAAACCATCACAGTTTAAACAGAATTCCTCCGTACCACGCCTGCCCCATCCCCTTGCCATTTTACTGAGGCAAACCTGGGGAATTGAACCCAGAGCCTCTTTTTCAACCCGGGGAAAGCAGATTGTTTAGCAGTAAAAGAAAGGATTTTAAGGTTTTCCCTCTGAAAGTTCTGCAAAAGAGCTCATATATTCCTCCCTCCTCCCTCAGCCGGTTGGGTACTTTATTCATTCCCACCCCGCGCAAACTTTATCCTGGAGTCACACCTCCGTTGGGCCTTGTGGCTTGGCCCACGAATTGCACCCTCCAAGCTGTCAGCAATTCGAGGACCGAGAAACCTGGAAGACTTTCCCTTCAAGCTGAGCGCTGGTGACAAGTAGATAATAAAAAATTTCCATAGAGTGTGTCGCAGACGGCTTCTCCCTGGCTCAGTCTCCCCTCCGCCAATCCTGGCGACTCCCTTGGTTTGCCGAACCAGAGACGGCTTCTTTTGGAAGGTAGAAAAGCACTAAGCACAAATCAGAAAGGATGTTGAAGAATCCTTCATTGTTTTGTATTTTGGCAGGAGGCTATTGTGGCTCAGGGGCTAAGACACTGAGCCTGTCGATCAGAAAGATTGGTGGTTGGGCGGTTCGAATCCCTACTGCCGCGTAACGGAGTGAGCTCCCGTGACTTGTCCCGGCTTCTGCCAACCTAACAGTTCGAAAGTCCATAAAATGCAAGTAGAAAAATAGGAACCAGTTGCCTTTGGAAGTTATGGGGGCTTCATCACTTGAGACTTTAAAGAAGAGACTTTTGTCAGAAATGGTGTAGGGTGGGGGGGTTGACTAGATGACCTACAAGGTCCCTTCCAACTCTGTTAATCTGTAATCAAGAGAAATCTTGGTGTCCCCTTCCAGGCTGATGGGAGTTGTAGTGACGGGTACCACTCCGTCATCCTTAGGGGAGAAGACGCAAAAAGACGCAAAACGTTGCAAATTGATCCCCCAAGTTTGCCTATCACTCCTAAGTCCTCAACAACCACAGTTTGTTTCCTGACAATTCCAAGTTACAGAGGGCACCAAAAAAGGAACTTATGTGACCATTTTCCACACTTACGACTGTTGCAGCCTCTCCTAGAAGTTCCGTGGTCTAAATCCCTACTTACTCCTATTTACGACGGTTGGCCGCGTCTCGTGATACCCTTTTGCGTCCTTCTGAGATGGGGGAGGGTGTAAAGCCAGATTCACTTAATGACCATGTTAGTAACTTCACTGCTGCAGGGATTCGCTTAACAACGGTGGCCAGATGGGTTGTAAATTGAGGCAAAGGTCACTTATCAAATGTCCCCCTTGGCAGCAGAAATGTTTGGGCTCCATTTGCGGTCGTAAATCGAGGAGCCACCTATATTTGAGGAGAATATTTAGAAGACATGGGAAAGGGCGGGTGGGGGAAGCTTTGAAATACTCACAGGTTGCATTGCGTTGCTACGCTTTTGTGAAGGACGGCAAAGAAAAAATACGAAAAGGTCAGCCCGCCGCAAAGAATTCCTCGTTTTTTTGAAAAATGCAGCTTTTCACTGCTGTGAATACAGTTAACAAGTTACCTCCACAGAAGGAGGAGGAGGAGAAGAAGGGGGGGGGAAATCAACGTAGGTTAAAATTGGAAATGGTTTAGACCTCCGCGGAATATTAAAATTGCATTAAGGGTAATTTTTGCTTCTTTACATTATCAAGCAGAATGGCTCGGTGTTTTATGGAGCACTAAGGGATATTTTGATTATGAATCTTGTTATTCCTCTCTCTCTCTCTCTCTCTCTTCCAACCCTTATTTTCTTTTCAGCTCCTGTTTGTTAATTGAGCTATTTTTTTCCTTTTCTTCTTTTTCCCCCCCTTTCACGTTTCCTTTCACTCGCCTTCTGTCGTCTGCTGCTTTGTAGTGTCGCCTGGTTCCGACTGGAGCTTAATGAGGCGTTTGAAAATTCTAGAGGAAAGCAGAGCCATACAAACACACACACACACACACACACACACACACACTTTCTCTCTCTTTCTCTCCCTCTCTCCTCTTTCTCTCCTTTTCTCTCTCTCTCTTTCTCTCCTCTCTCCTTTCTCTCTCTCTCCCTTTCTCTCTCTTTTCCTTTCTCACTTTCTTTCTCTCCACTCTCCTTTTTCTCTCCCTCCTTTTCTCTCTTTCTTTTCTTTCTCTCTTCTCCTTTCTCTCTCTCTCTCTCCTTTTCTCTTTCTCTTCCCACCCTCCCTCCCTCCTCTCTTTCTCTCTTTCCAGATTGGGTTTTAATTTCCAGAAAGTAATATTACAAGCCTGACCACTGCCTCCCCCCCCNAGAGAGAGAAAGAAAAAGAGCAAGATAGAAAGAGAAAGAAATGAGAAAAAGAGAAAGAAAGAGAAAGAGAAAAAAGAGGGAGAGAAAGAGAGAAAGAAAAAGAGAAAAAGAAAGAGGAGGAGAAAGAAAGAAAAAGAGAAAAAAGAAAGATGAAGAGAAAGAGAGAGAGAAAGAAAAAGAGAGAGAGAAAAGAGAAAGAAAGGGAGAAAGAAAGAATGAAAGAGAGAAAGAAGAGAGAAAAAGATAAAAAGAGAGAGAAAGAAAGAGAGAAAGAAAGAGAGAGACTGCAGAGGGGAAAACACAACTGAAATTTTTTGCTCTCTAATAAAACCCCCTGAATGAAGCCCACTGTTGTACTGTTTAAATCAACCCTATTATTAAAAGTCAGCTCTGATTTAGTCTGGCAATTACAAGCAAGAGAGGCCAATTCTCCTTGGCTGATTTATCGGCCTCTTCTTCCTCTGAATTGTGAAAAGGCTCACTGAACTGTGAACACCTCAAAGTTGGGGTGTCAAGAGAAAAGTTTTTAAAAACAAAAAGAAGAAGAAAGCAAGTCGCAGAAGAACATAAGTTTCCACTTCCCTTTTCACAATCTTCAAAAGGTCGGAAAATCTCTCTGGATTTCCTATCTGAAGAAGCTGGAAATCAAAATCAGGAAGGTTTGGACAAGGTTAAAACCCCTTTGGGCTTCCCTCCTCATTTTAAATGAGACCCTGAGGATTGGAAGCACAGTTTGGAAAGGAAAATAATCGCGACCACCTCAGCAGCTCCAAAGATTCTCCCGTGTAAATTACAGGTGTAGGGGAAAAAAAATCAATGGAAACCAGCTTTGAAATGCAATCCTTTCCTTCCTTCTGTTGGTGCTCCAAAGCCTTTTTTTTTATTTAGCCCATTTATTGCTGGATGGTCTGGCCTGAAATTGTAAAGTTTGGATTTTAGATGTTGCAGCGAGCCAACACAATTTCAGCTAGTTAACTTTTCTGGTTTATGTTGGCTGATCCAGGCAGGGTTTTCCGAAAGAGGAAAAATAGCCGAACAACCCAATAACAGAGTTGGAACGGACCTTGGAGGTCATCTAGTCCACCACCACCCCACAAGCAGGAGACCATACACCATGTCTGACAGATGGCAGTCCAGTCTCATCTTTAAAACCTCCAGTGATGGAGCGCCCACGATTTCTGGTGGCAAGCAATTCCACTGCTTAATTGTTCTCACTGTTAGAAGTTTCTCCTTAATTCTAGGTTGCTTCTCTCTTTGATCAGTTTCCAACCATTATTTCTTGTCTGGTGCTTTGGAGGATAATTTCTGACAGATAGCAGTCCAGTCTCTTCTTGAAAGTCTCCAGTGATGAAGCTCCCACAACTTCTGTAAAATGGGTTGATTGTTCTCACTGTCAGGAAATTCCTCTTTATTTCCAGGTTGAATCTCTCCTGGGTCAGTTTCCATCCATTATTCCTTGTCTGGCCTTCAGGTGCTTTGGAAAATAGCTTGACCCCCTCCTCTCTGTGGCAGCCCTCAAATATTGGAATATATTCTCTGAGAACCAATAAATGGCAAAATTTAGAGAGTTTAGTTGGGAGGAAGAGAGTTAAGAGAAGAGCCCTCTTAACTCTCTTCCTCCCAACCAAACTCTCTAAACTTTGCCGTCTCTTGGTCCTCCACAAGGCAGCCCCTCCCTTCTGGGGATTCCGGACTACATTCTACCACATCTGATAAATTTTGCAGAATTGTAGAGTTCCGTCCTTCTAATTTGGCCTCGGGATTTAATATTTGCTCAAGAGTTGAAGGAACAAGGAGGAGAAAAATAATCTTACATCAACTGGAAGTGGTTTCCTTCTGAAAAGGGGGAACACCTTGTCAGCTGTCACATTCTAATGCATCCAAATTACAGGTATTTTTAATCACACAGTCACCTTGCTCAAGGAAAGGACAACTGCCTTAAAAGGCCCAGGCATTTAGGGTAGTAATTGCATACTGCATAATCCATTCAGGTAGGTTTGGTTGGTACAATGCCAAGCATTCACCTCCTGCATTCACCATCTGCCACCATAGTTCCTGCTGATGGAATAGCAGGATGTAGGCATGCATGTATGAAACAAAAGTTCAGCAGATGAGTTGGATACAGATACAGATTAACAGAGTTGGAAGGGATTCTTTAGGTCATCTAGTCCAACCCCCTCCCAAGCAGGAGACCCTACATCATTTCTGACAGAGGGCAGTCTAGTATCTTCTTGAAAGTTTCCAGGGATGAAGCTCTCACAACTTCTGAACGCAACTCATTCCATTGAATATAGAATAACAGAGTTGGAAGGGACCATCTAGGCCAACCCCAGCCCAAGCAGGAGGCCCTATACCAATTCTGATAAATGGCAGTCCAGTCTCTTCTTGAAAGCTTCCACTGATGAAGCTCCCACAATCCCTGAAAGCACCTTCTGAATATAGCATAACAGTTGGAAGGGGACTTGGTGGTCATTTAGTCCAACCACCACCCACCCAAACAGGAGATGCCACACCATTTCTGACAGAGGGCAGTCCAGTCTCTTCTTGAAAGCTTCCACTGATGAAGCTCCCACAATCCCTGAAAGCACCTTCTGAATATAGCATAACAGTTGGAAGGGGACTTGGTGGTCATTTAGTCCAACCACCACCCACCCAAACAGGAGATGCCACACCATTTCTGACAGAGGGCAGTCCAGTCTCTTCTTGAAAGCCTCCAGGGATGAAGCTCCCACAACTGCTGAAGGCCAATTAAATTAATGAATTAATCTTAATCTTTAAGTTCTCTTCTCCCCAAAAGATGTAATAATTTCAGCTCCTACATTCTACTACAAGTAGCCCTCGAAGTTACAACAACACTGGAAAAAAGTGACTTATGACCGGGTTTTTTTCACACGTATGACCTACAGCATCCCCATGGTCAAGTGATGAAAATCCGAATGCTTTGGCAACTGGCTCTTATTTGTGACCGTGGCAGTGTCCCAGGGTCATGTGATCACCCTTTTTTGTGACTTCTTGACAAACAAAATCAATGGGAAAGCCAGGTTCCCTTAACAACTAATTTAACCTACCTCAGTTATCTGCGAGGCCTCCGTTCTACCAGATGTGAGCCCTGTCTTTTCTGTGTTACAGGCAATGGATTTAAATGTCCTCGTGCTGGCAAGGGATATTCCAGGAAACGCTGCCGTAATTGCACACCAAACAACTGGATTATTATATACGACCCCAAAGGTAATGTTAAAATATGTGTAGATCTATCTGTCTTTCTATCTATCATCTGTCATCTGTATCATCCATCTATCTATCATCTATCTATCTATCTATCTATCTATCTATCTATCTATCTATCTATCTATCTATCTATCTATCTATCTA